TTGTTTATTTGCTAATTGTACAAATTCAAAAAAATTATTTGGCCGGGAACCACACTAGTGGATCCTGAGGGGTGCCTAACACCTTCCCCTTGGGATAATTTCAAGCCTTTACCCTGTCTCTGGTTACCAAACGTAGTTATAAATGAACCCTATAGTTGCCCTAACACATCTTAAATCGTTAGGTGGCGACTCTTCAAAATGCAAACGCCCTTTCCAAAAAGGAAAGAGTTGTCCCAACCAAAATATCATAAACCCGATTCAGTGAAGGAAAAAGGGGGCGCGACAAATCTATGCCCATTTGAAGCTTTTGGCTCGATTGGCCCAATGACATACATACCCCAAGCAACGAACGACCACTGTGCTGACATAGGATGTAGTTTTGTAGGTGGTGCATGAATCAGGTCACCGTGCACCTGACACTGATGACATTTTCGGACAAAACCGAAGCAATCTTTTTCCATAGTCATCCAGTAATAGCTTGATCGAAGGATTTTATTTTCTAGGACGTATCCATTCAAATGGGGTCCACACACTCTTGCGTGCACTTCATGCATGATTCTTTCGGCCTCTTGGGCATCCACACATCTTTACAAGTTGAGATCTGGAGTCCTTTTGTACAAGATTTCCCTGCTCAAAAAGAAACCACTGACAAGCCTTCTGATGGTTCACTTTTGGTCTCCATTGGCCTGCTCGGGATATTCCTTTGTTTTCAGAAATCTCTTAATATCATGATACCATTGCTGGACATTTGGTTCCACCTCAATCGCATTGCAGTAACCATGCCTTTCTCGGATTGGATTTCCAATGGGTCAATGTGGACATTGCCTGGATATGGCAACATCGATGCCAAAGTAGCGAGTGCATCGACTAACTAATTGTGAAAACCAGGAATGTACCTGAACTTGACTGACTTGATTCGCTTGCTAAGATCTTCCACATGTTGCCTGTATGGAATAAACTTGACATCCTGAGTTTCCCATTCTCTATGAGCTTGTCGGATAATCAGATCCGAATCTCCCATTATTATCAATTCTTTCACATCTTGGTCGATTGCCATATTCATACCCATAATGCAGGCTTCATACTTGGCAGTGTTGTTTGTGCAGAAAAACCAAAGTCGGGTTGTGGCTGGATAGTGTTGACCAGTGGGTGAGATCAAAATTGTCCCAATCCCTACACCTTTTGCGTTCACAGCTCCATCGAATTTCCAAGAATTGGTGTCTTCTGTTGTTACCTCAACTGAATTCACCTCCTCGTCCGGGAAGTAAGTACGCAAAGGCTGATATTCATCATCAACAGGGTTTTTAGCTAGGTGATCTGCTAAAGCCTAGGATTTCATTGTCGTGCAGGTGGCATAGACTATGTCAAATTCAGTGAGCAAGATTTTCCATTTTGCTAACCTTCTTGTGGGCATCGGCTTTTGGAATATATACTTCAAAGGGTCCAGCCTGGTGATGAGATAAGTGTTGTAGGCCAATAGGTAATGCCTAAGCTTCTGAGCGACCCAAGTTAGGACACATCAAGTCCTTTCCAACAAAGTATATTTGGCTTCGTAGCTGGTGAACTTTTTGCTCAGATAGTATATTGCCTGCTCCTTCTTCTCGGTCACATCATGTTGCCCGAGGACACATCTGAAGGAATTCTCCAAGACTGTCAAATACAAAAACAAAAGCCTCCCAAGTTTGGGTGGGACCAAGATTGGCGGATTCGACAAATATTCTTTGATTTTGTCGAAGGCTTCTTGATACTCATCTGTCCATTCAATTGCCACATCTTTCTTTAACAGCTTAAATATGGGCTCACATGTGGATGCCAACTGACAATGAAACGACTGATGTAATTCAACCTTCCCAAGAGGCTCATAACCTCCTTCTTAGTTTTCGGAGGAGGCAAATCCCGAATAGACTTTATCTTTGTTGGATCTAGCTCGATGCCCCTCCGACTGACTACAAATCCCAAGAGTTTGTCAGACATAACCCCAAATGCACATTTAGCCGGATTTAGCTTCAAGTCATACTTACGCAACCACTGAAAGAACTTTCTCAGGTCCTGAACATAGTCATCCTATGTTCTGGATTTGATGATCACATCATCCATGTCGAGCCCCCCTTTTTTCCCTTCCACCGGAGAGGAGTTCCGGGTTTCGACATTCATGGGGTGTAATGACTCATTTCCTTTTTGGAATTGGGTATTTTGAAGAGTCGCCACCTAATGATTTAGGGTGCATTAGGACACCTATAGAGCTCAAATACGACTATGTTTGATAACCAGAGATGGGGTAAGGGCTTGACATTATCCCAAGGGGAAGGTGTTAGGCACCCCTCATGATCCACTAGTGTGGCTCCCGGCCAGATCGTTTTTTGTGAATTTGTGCAATTAGTAAGTAATCAAATAAGGCTCAATTAAGAGGGGATTTAAGTTAAACACCAAGTGCAAACAATTATTAAACGGGGAAGATTTTAGAAAAAAGAGTTATAAGCTAAACATGTTTGTAAAAAAATAAAAAGGGGGTCCTAGGTTTCTTTATAATATGGATCACCTCAATGTAATACCCGGCATGACACTCCTCAGAAGAGGGGATACACGTGGTATTAGCGCATCGGTCATCATATTTATATCTACCCTTCCCACCCCGTGAAGGTATTAAAGCGCGGATTGGTCTCTACCTCTATTGCATGCTATTACTCATCCCATTCCTATCAGTCCCAGAGGAATTTTAGGACTACTATTCCTACAAGAGAGAGGTTGTTGGCTGACACTTAGGTTTAAAGGTGAAAAGGCTAAGGAGGCATACAAAAACACGTAGGTCTGCATTTAGAGGGGGAACATATATATAGTTAGAAGGCTCATGTATACCTCTGCAAACAAAGATATAAATAGCATGACTTAAACACAGTTAAGGTATGAATTTTAAAAATCCTAAAGTAGAGTTTGATTCAAAGCCAAATTCATTATATAACTCAGAAAAGAAGTCTGAATCAGGCCTGCCTGCTGGTTGTAGCAGTTGGTAATTGGCAAAGGCAATTCCAGTTTTATTCGAGTAATTACCTAAGGCTTGCCTAGGCAGAATAGTGATGCCCTATGAACATGATATCTATATTGATTAGGAATGCAGTAGAGCAGTGATTAAGCAAACAACTTGAGATCCTATAGACATGCTTTCTAATGGTATTAATTAAAGGTAGTGTTTGAAAACCTATTAAAGAAGCGGCAGATTAATTAACTAATCCAATTCAGAATGACAACGTGAACTAAACGGCTTCTCCAACTAAACTGATTTAAGTTCTATAAGCATGATTTCTATTATAGCATTTAGATCCTATAGGCATGGTATCTAAGTGTTAAAAAACTGACTTTGGACTTATAGGCATGATTTCTATGGAGACGATCTGAATGCATGTTGTAATGAAAACTGAACTTCAATTACTTTACACACTATGGGCATGATATCTAATTATAAAGCTGATTTTAACCCTATAAGCATGATCTCTATTATTAAAGTCATTTAGATCCAATAGACATGGTTTCTAATTGTGTGAAAGTAAAGCAAGCAGAATTTATCTTAATCCAGAGCAAATCCTATAGGTATGATATCTAACAGGCCATGTTTGGAATCGAAATAGACCCTATCGGCATGTTATCTACCCAATTTACCCACAACATACGACTACCCACCCTTTTCACTGATCATCCCGATATTGTTTACAAATTATTATAGACCAAATGATTGAATTACAAAAGAAGTGCAGAAATAAAAAATTACAACCAAAGAAAGCCTGATCTTGAATTCCTCTCTGAGTTATGTAATGAACAACTTCAGTGCCAATATTTCAAAGCCTTTATCATACCTGGGTGTGTCAAAGTTTCCTAAGGACCACAAGGGATCCCGGGCAGTGCTCACACCCAGATTTGCATAACCAAACAGAATTGGTGCAGTGTGGAAGAGTCAACTCTTATGTGTCCAAGTTCAGAGGGAGCTCAAGGGTCCTAAGGCAAGGCTCACACAACAGGGGCAGAACCTAGATTTTAAGAATATAGTGAAGTGCAGAACACATGTTGAAAGAGATTTTGTTTAAAAAGCTGAACTGATAGTCTATTTTTGAAAGCAATTAGTGACAATCGTCACTACTACAAAAAAGGTCTTTGGTGGCAATTATTTAGCGGCAATTAGGTAATTGCCACTAATGAATTATTTAAGCTAAAATATTAGTGGCACATGACCATTAGCTAGTAAAAGATATATTTTTAACGACAGTAAAAAACAATTGCCACTAAAAATTGCTAATTGAATTATATTTTTTATTATTTTAACTTTCCCTCCATACAATCTTTCCCTCCAATTTTTTGGGACAATAAATTACATTCCCTCCAATTAGAAAACCCTACAATTAAAAAAATAGGAAAAACCAAACCCTGTAATTAGAATGATAAAGAACGACGCCTGTAATTAGAACGACAGGAAGAACGACGGAAAACCTGCGCAACATCGCTAAAAAACCTTCGCCTTGCACGGTCTCCGGCCATCCCAGGTCATTCTCGATCGAGTTATATATAATTTTGGGTTGATGCTACTTGATTATTATCAGTCTTCTCTGTCAATCTTCTCCCTTAATATTCGCCCTGAACGTCTTCAACTTCTATTTCGTGTAGGTTTCAAGAATTATTGCAGAAAGCCTTCGTCTACTTCAATTTTTCCTCTTAATCGGCAGAAGTTTTGTTTACCAGGTTCCAATTTTGGTTTTTGATTTTTGATATCCAACTACGGCCTTTTAGGATTAGCAAAAGTATAGCTTTTTCTGTGTTTACTAAGTCGTTTGTTAAGTGTTAGTTGATGCATATTGATGTTCTAGTTGAATGTCGGTAGTCGAGATATGAATTCAACCATGTTCAAACTTTTTGCCCGAGTATGATATATATATATATATATATATATATATATATCCTGCTGATGTAAAAGGATTTCTGAATTCTTATTATATACTGAACTTACTTTTCTGAATTCTCCATACCAAAAGAGTTAGCGAAAATTCTCACCAACTATATTCTATGATCAAGTTTCAACAATGTCACCATACTTTTAAACTTATTATATACTGAACTTACTCTGCACATTCACTTAGTTTCTCAGAGTTCTGGCTCTCAACAATCATCAGAATTAGTGATTTGTTCTCATCCAGGAACTGACATTGGAAAAGAATAAGGCCAATTACTAAGTGAACATCAAATAACATGTAAAAATTCAAATAAACACTGTCTAACCCCAAATAAAAAATATGAGATATGCCCGTATTATAAGGAATCAGAGGCGAATCCAGGATTTGAAGGCCAAGGCGCACTTTTGATTTCAACCAAAATCTGCTTTGTATATGGGGTATCACTACAAATATATTAGTATTTCCTAAAAACATATACATGTATTCATGAAGATTTTGCTGAACTAAAGGTATACTCTTGATATTAGTATTTCAGCTCCTTTAATCTTGCTTGCATACTTGGCCTCAGACTTCCTCTAACTTGTACCTCCTGAACAATAGTTCTGGTGAGCATATCGGTAGTTCTTGTATAATTAAGGAATATCCTTTGGTTCCTTTCTTTCCATACATAGTAGATGCAACATGCTAGGGACATTCGAAATGTCTTCGCATTTATATTGTAGACATGATCGTTTGTCCACGTGAATTCTCTCCCAATAGTTTTCAGCTCTGTCATGTATATGTCTTATAGAAAGTTATTGAAGTTTATAATCTCATTCTCATGTACTGAATTTCCATTCATTCTATCATCAATAATAAGTATGGTATTGAAATTACCCATGATCAACCATGCCCCCTGCTGTGATGTATGTATTTACTGCAGCTCAACCCACAATTCCCTTTTATCTTGTATCATGTGGAGTCTATATACAGTGGTCATGTCAAATTCAAAACCTCCGGATATGATTTTAATCCTTCCATGTATATATTGTCTATGAATTTGTATAGCAGTAATTACCCCAAAAGTATATATTATGATTTATATCTGAATTGGTTTAATGCAATGGATTAATGTTCAGTAATTTTGGTAGTTTGAATGCTATCTATTAGGGAGATGATCAGGAAGACATTTCCTGTTTTGCCTTCCTTGTGGGATCAAAACTTGAATAATAGACTGATTTAGTGTATGATATGTTACGTTATGGATTAGGCTTATTTCTTTAAGGAGTCCTAAGTGTTCTGTATCATTTTCACTATTCGCGGCTTCTTGCTGATGATTATTTTATATATTTGAACTACATTTTTGTTAATTCCTCCTTTTTACTACTAAATTTTTAGATCTTTCAGCAATTATACAAAAGATAAGAATATCTTTAACGTCATGGACAATCCTAGAAATAAACGATAGATGCATTGTGATAGCGTTAGTAAAGAATATTTGGATGGAGTAGAGGAGTTTATAAACCATGCCTTTTCTGAAAAACAAGATGGAGAACAAATTGCATGTCCTTGTATGGAGTGTGTGCTTATCCATCAAGTAAACCGGACTACAGCATATGATCATCTTGTGATTAATGGTATTATGCCATCATATGATACTTGGTTTTGTCATGGTGAGTCTCTAAAGGGATCAAACAATGCTCAAGCAAATAATCGCAGCCAGTCAACTTTAAGGGCGATGATATGACAGGAATGATACATGATGCCTTTTGGAGGCTTTACACAGTTCATGGATACCGACATTAGTGAAGGGGGTGACATAGAGCATAACTTACAAGAGAATACTGCTCATTCATCTAGAAATCAACCGCATCCAGAGATGGATAAGTTTGAACGGCTCATGAAGGAGGCAAATGAAGAACTATATCCAGGATGTAAGAAATTTAGCAAAATGTCCTTTTTGATGCATCTGTACCGTACAAAATGCATGTTCAAATGATCAAATGAATCGTTTAATGCTTTGCTTGGACTATTGAAGGATGCGTTGCCTGAAGGAGAAAAATTGCCTCCTTCTTTCTATGAGACCAAAAAGATAGTTGAAGGTTTGGGCTTAAAGTATGAGAAAATTCATGCTTGTCCCAATGATTTCATGTTTTTTAGGAAAGAGTTTGCTAATAAGAATGTCAATAAATGTAATGTTTGTGGAGCTTCTAGATGGAAAAATGATGCTAGAAAAATCTCATCCAAGGTCCTAAGGTATTTTCCTTTAAAACCAAGGCTACAAAGACTGTTTATGTCTTCGGAAACTTCTAAAGCAATGTGTTGGCATCATGAAGAGCGCTACAAAGATGGAGTTCTACGACATCCTGCAGATTCTGAAGCTTGGAAAAAATTTGATAGTAAATATCCTGAATTTGCTGGAGACCCTCACAATGTGCACCTATGATTAGCTTCTGATGGGTTTAATCCATTTGGCACAATGCGAACTGTTCATAGTACATGGCCAGTGATAAATACGAGCAGCTCTCATGTGCACTATAAATGACCTTCCTGCATATGGTACTCTCTCTCTAGATGGTGCACTTGTGGTCGGTTTGCATGTCCTTCTTGTAACATAAATACTCAATCTAGAAGGCTGAAACATGGCAAAAAGTTTTGTTACATGGGGCATCGACGCTTCTTGAAGTCGGGACACAAATATCGGAATGATGCAAAATCATTTGATGGGACTAAAGAAACAAGACCTGCACCTTTTCCAGTATCTAGGTCAGTAGTGCTGAATCAAGTTAAAAATATAAAATTTACTCTCGTCCAGTCAAGTGAAGGGGTAAGTGGGGTGATGAAAAACACATGGAAAAAGAGAAGTATTTTTTTGATCTTCCTTATTGGAAATTTAACTTGATGCGCCATAATCTTGATGTGATGCACATAGAAAAGAATGTGTGTGATAACTTAATTTATATACTATTGAATATTGGTAAAAAGTCTAAAGACAACTTAGAAGTTCAATTGGACTTGAAGGAGATGAAAATAAGACCAAGCTTATGGCCTCAATATCGAGCTAGTGGGAGAGCATATCTTCCTGCTACTTTTTTTACAATGTCTCAGTAGGAAAAGGACTTATTTTATGAAGTACTACAAAATACCGAGTTTCCAAATGGCTATGCGTCTAATATTTCACGTTGCATTCGCAAACGAAAGTTATTTGGGCTAAAAGCTCACGATTGTCATGTTATTATGCAAGAACTTCTTCCTCTTGCCTTGTGGAGATCAGTAGATAAAAGAGTAAGTTCAATTTTAATTGAACTATGCACATTCTTTCGTGTTTTGTGTAGCAAAGAGCTAAAACTAGAAGAGTTAAGCCTACTTGAAGAAAAAATCCCAGAAACATTATCTACTATGGAGAAACTCTTCCTCCCAGGATTTTTTACTATTATGATACACTTGGTTATTCACTTGGCAACTGAGGCTAAACATGCAAGACCGGTACATTATCGCTGGATGTATCCGATTGAGAGGTATGTAGAATATCACTTAATTTTTGTTATATGTCTTTAGTTGTTAAATACTCTAATATCAAATTAATAACATTACTTTGTTCCATAGGTATTTGGGTACTTTAAAATCATATGTTCGTAATCATGCATGTCCATAAGGTTCAATAGCAGAAGCATACATAGCAAATGAGTGTATGGCATTCTGCTCACGATATTTAGAGTGTAGAGATATAAGGTCTTATTGTTCAAGAAAATGGGGTTATTAAATTGAGCATGAGACTAATAAAGAAGAATCTCTTTTTCCTACTATTAGGGAGTTGTACGGTGGAGTAGATGTATTTGAGTTGGATGACAAAACATGGTTGCAAGCACATCGACATGTGCTTTTCAATTGTGAATCAGAAGTGGTTGAGAATTATAAAAAGTAAGTGTTATATCTATTATTTAATATGTGTGTGTGTATATATATATATATATATATATATATATATATTACTTATATGATAACAAAATTGATATATGCGAGTTACATGTATAGGAAACATATTGCTGAAATCAAAAGAGCACATCGTAAGTGTTGTTTGACACAACATCAACTTGATCATGTGCATTTCGATACATTTCATGAGTGGTTCAAGAAGCAAGTAAGTAGTAGGACTAAGTCATTGTTTACGTTAAATTATTATCCTTGTACAAATACCAACATTTATAGTGGTATCTTTTATTTGGTTAGGTAAAGGAGTTGGAAGCCAAATCTAACATCTTAAAGGATGTTAAAGTCCTAGCACAACGACCGAGTTACATTGCAAAAAGATTCAGTGCGTTCGATGTTAATAGTGGGTATCGATTCCGAACAAAACAAAGTGAAGAGTTCAATGTGACACAAAATAGTGGTGTTATGATCATTTCAAAGACTGAAAGTTATGCAAGTACAAGTAATAATGCTCCAAAATCTGCAAATATCACATATTATGGCAGATTGAATAATATTATGGAGTTAAACTACTATGAGAAATGTAAGGTCATCTTATTTAAGTGTGATTGGGTTGATGTAACCAAAGGTAGAGGAATTAAGGAAGATGACTTGGGTTTCACACTTGTGAATTTCACACACCTGACAGACTCTGGCGATTGAGAACATCAAGAGCCCTTTATTTTTGCAGAACAAGCTCAACAAGTAATATTTGTACAAGATCCTCAAGATCATGAATGGTTTGTCCCTAGGTTAATTAAACTTCGAGACATTTTTAATATGGGAGAGGAAAATAGTCTGCAGTTTGAGGCATCAACGCAAAGTGATGCCACTGACTTGGCTCTTTTAGAAAATGCTTGTGTTTTAGAAGATAAGTATAATAAATGGATAAGAAGTGGTGTCGATGGGATAATAATTGATACAAACGTAGATTTTCAACCTTCTCTAAATGATGGTGAAGCTAATGTTGAGGGAGAAAATAACATAGAAAATGAATGTGATTCTGAATAAGATAGGTGGTACTTATAGAATATTTTTGTTTCAAGTGTCATGTAATAAACTCTAAGGGTGTTATTTTTTTGCTTCAAAAATTTGAATATATTGGATGCTTGAGTGAATTTATTGTGCTTTCTTCTACTTATATTTTGCTTATTGTATCCATTTAAATGTGATATTATAAGGTGGTACTATAACTTGATAATTATTTTCCTAGTGCATAAATAACTCTTATCTCTAGAACAATATTTGTCGCAAGGCTTTGTTTGTGTTACCTGAGTTGTTGATATTTTTCACATATTGAGATTTGGATGATGCTTCCTCATGTTTTGCAAGTGGCCTGCTGATTTGTTAGAGTCAATCTAGTACTAATATAGCGTAATGCAGCTAGATAATTTTTTTTTTATTTTGGAGAAGGAACTATGCGAACTAGAGGTCGCAACCGACTGGTAATTGAACAAGACGACGATAAAGATGTGCGACCTTATATTGAGCATTTGATGGATGGTCTAAACCATTCTGCAACCCAGCCTTCTATTGAGCAGTTGATGGATAATCATAACTCTTCTGAAGATCAGGCACATGATGATCAATCTTGTGATTTGAATAGTTTTGATGGTGGTACTAAAGTTCAACAAAATGATGATGAATCAGGTAATACTTTTCTCCGGAATCATTTTCAAATCTTAATTGTTTAAGAGAATTAGAAAGAACTTCAAGCCCAGACCTACCAGATTCTGCGTTCGCAATCACAATCAGCTGGTTGTCTCTTGAATCTTGATCCCACCCCTGTTTAATTTTCTTTTGTCTCTTTAATTCTTTGTGGTTACTATCAGAATTTAATTAACTGGATCTGAAGTACACCAATATATCTACTACTAGCATATTTCTTTGTGACAATAATGAGTGTGAACTTAATATATGTACATATTCTTTTTTTAGAATTCCAACTCTTTATAATCCAATTGGAGAATATATATATATATATATATATATATAAGGAGTATGATCACACCTACTGATTTAATATATTCCTATATATATATATGTGTGTGTGTGTGTGTGTGTGTATTGTTCCATTTGAGACGCCACCAAGCCCAGGCTCAATATTTTTGTTTAATTCAGTTTTCCCCCTTTTTCTAGGTCGATCTCCTTCTCTTGTTTTCTTTTTTTTCCAAGAACTTTAAAATGCAGATGTATAAGCTTTGAAAGTGCTTTTTGTGAATTTTCAAGATAGATCAAAAAATTTCATGTTGACTTGTTTGGTTTTCGTTACTCTTGACTCTTGAGTATGATGATGATTGAGGAGGCAAACTGTTCAACTTTTGGAATACGATTAATTTGGAATCGAGCTGGAAAGTTCCTACAAAACACAATACTACTAAACTTCCGATCGATGAATACTTGCTTCCTCACTACAACCTTTGGTGATAGTATTTTTCACATTCATTTTTAGATTTCCTGATGTAGGTCAGATTTGTTAAAGAAAAAATCATACTAGCTTAGATTATAATTAAGCACAGTAGTAACACAAACTACGACCTCCTAACTACTAAGCAGTTAGCACACAAGAATTAAAAACCACGTAGCCTCGATAGATGACTACATTCTGATATTACTTGTAGTCATCCATTGCACCTAAAGTGCCAAGTATGACGTAAATTTCAATTGCATGTAGTATGGAACTCATTTGCAGAGTTAACACATGGCATAATACGGGCAGCATTATAGAAGGGATGATTACAAGTAATATCAGCATGTAGTCATCTATCTGTCAAGATTTGAAATAACTACAAGTAATAAATAACAAAATTCTCAAGTTGTTGTTGCCCATCGTGCTTTGTTACTGTCATTGTCTTTGATCGAGCTTCAATTTTGTTTATTCCATCAAGTTGCTGCCTCGATAAAGGAATGAAATCATATAAGTTTGAAATCATTTGTTATTTAACAGATTTAACCATATAAGTTTTTGTCATTTGATGACCTTTGAATCTTCTATTCTAGGTAATTTGGAGCCAAGAAAGGTTCGTGGGCTTACTTTACTAAAAAATATTTGGAAACTTCCTCCGGGGAAGGTAGTTGATGTGCTGTTTAATAATCATAACCAATCTATTGGGGAAAAGGTCGAAAGCTTGCTAGCTTTCTAGGAATCATTGCGAGAACTCCAGAACTAACATCTTTACATGTAGATGATTGGAGAAATTTTGACAAGGAGGAAAAGAAGAAATTGGTGGATTTTGTGAGGGTATGGAGTAGTTGTTGTTGTTGTTATTATTATTATTATTATTAGTATTATTATTATTATATGAATGGGTTCAATCTTTTATACATGATATTTTTTTCTAAATATTGGCTTTAATTTTTTTAGAAGAAGTTCTCTATCCCAAGACGAGGAGAAGCTTATGTCCTAAAGTCACTAGGAAAGAAATGGAAAGATTACAAGTGTGAGTTAAAAGGTGAGTATTTGCGAAAATATAAGACTAAAGACCTTTTGCTGAAAAATAGACCAAGTCGCATACCGAGGGATCAATGGAGTGGTCGTATCGTTTATTGGCTTTCAAACAAAGCTAAGGTATTAAAAAATCTTTAAAACACCTCTAGTTGAATATTTTTAGTGTTTTAGTTTTAGTTATGCTCAATTTTTATGTATAATTTATAAGATATCATTTTAATATTTCAACGACAGTGGTGTTCCCAAGCAAATAGAAATAATAGGGGCAATCAAAAGATGTCTCACACGGGAGGATCCAAAAGTATTGCTACCTTGATGGATGAGCAGGCAAACTTGTTCAAATTACTAACTATAATGTTTTAATTTTTTTTTCACGCATATCTTACATCAATTTTATTATATTAGGCTGTAAATGGGATAAAGCCTACACGAGCACAAGTTTTCACATTAACTCATACAAAACGTAAGGATGGTAGACCACTGGATGATGATTTTGTCAAGGCAATTGTAAGATTTCTTTTTTTTTTTCTTTTATTTTCTTAATTGGGAAATAGTTAGGAAAAACCATAAAAGTGAATAAATGAATTCCAAATTGGATTTATGTATTTTATGGCCAGGAAATGATAAATGAAAGGACGAACAATAGTGAGAGCTCTACTAACCAACTTCCTCGCGTTGTTGCTAGGGAAGGCGATGTGTATTCTCAGTTGTTCGGAGATGACAATAGTGGATATGTTCGTGGTTTAGGACTTGGTCGAACTCCTTCTATTCTATGGGGTAGTAGATCTTCCTTAGAAAATATTGTTGGAGAGGATTCATCTAATGAAGCTGTCCAAAGGTTAACACAAGAGATAACCGAGTTAAAGGATAAACATAATGAAGAAATGAATCTGATGAAACAAAATCAGGAGAAGATGCAATCGGAATTACTCGAAATGCGACAATTGATGCGCAAATATGCTTCCAATGAATATATGCCTCAAAATATCTCAAATGAACAGTTAATTCGATTTTATAAGTTATGTACATTATTAATGAAGTTTTAATCCAATAAAAGTATTGTTATCTGGTGTTTTAATATTTATCATGTCTCTGCTGCCAATATTGGCCATGAACGAGTACCACAAACATCAAGGATACCTAATGTTGCTGAAAATACTTCAATGTCTCATTGTACTACTCATCTTTATCCTTCGGCAAGCTACTATTTGAGTTTTCTATTGTTTGATCAAACTTCTGCAGTTTTCTTCCTTCTTCTGCAAATTCTCGTAAACTTCTTCAAACCTTATTCATCTTCACCTTTCTTCTAGACTCTAATATTCTTCTCCATCTCTGATTAAGTCATCCCTTACGCCAGTTAGCTGAATTCGTGTGTGCCAGCTGAAGTAGTAATAGTTAGCCTATTTTGAAAGTTACTATAGTGTTCCATTCATTCTAGTTGAAAGAGTAGAGTTATAGGATTCTAGCTGAATTTTACTTAATCTAGTGTGCTGAAACTATAGAGTTTAGTGGTTTGGAACTTACCAAGGCATCGAGCAAATTCTTGTCCTCCAAAGTGATAGTTGGTGACTTTATGTCCTGCTGCTGCTGCTCACCAGTTGTAAGTATACCTACAGCTCCTGTTGTGATTGCATTCCGCTGCTGCTGTCCGGAATTGTTAGGAGTTATTGCTCGTCGACCATCAGCATTAGTAATAGCTGTAGTAAGATGTTGCTGCTACACACAGCGGCTTGAAACATTACCTTGAGTAATCTAAAATTGGGAGTTGCTGCTATTTGAAACATCACCTTTGTTTACCACAATCATAATCAAATCAATTAGCAGGTTTTCTCCTCTGTTTTGCAATCATAAATCACCAATTTAACATCCCATTGAACAACAAAAAAATGGCATTAATCCTCCAATCTTCAAGTTTCTTAAATTCTTGCAGTACTTCTGTTCCCTTAATATGATCTTGTAGTTGCAAAAGAGGATTGATTAGAGCGAATATTGTCACACCTCCTTTTTCCGCGCCCGGGGGGTGCAGGGGAGTTTTTTCCAATTAAAGGACAATCGAAACGGGATTTGTTTAATTATTTCAGAGTCGCCACTTGGGAGATTTAGGGTGTCCCAAGTCACCAATTTTAATCCCGAATCGAGGAAAAGAATGACTCTATCTTACAGTCTGCGTACCAGAAATTCGGATAAGGAATTCTGTTAACCCGGGAGAAGGTGTTAGGCATTCCCGAGTTCCGTGGTTCTAGCACGGTCGCTCAACTGTTATATTCGGCTTATTTATCTGATTTTTAATACAATTATGAACCATGTGCAAATTTTATCTTTTACCGCTTTATTATCATTATTTTTTTAGGAATGTGAACATCGCTCAAAACATATCTTTGGACTGTGTCACATGAAATGCATCCACAATCCGAAACATATTTTATTTGATGTTTTAGGATTTGGATTTGGGTCGCATGAAATGCACACCCGAGTTTAAGAAAGTAATTTAATTAAA